CTCACCTTCCCCAGGCCTAGGCTCCTCCTCATCTGTTTTCAAGAGGTCAGGCTGCCCTTTGGGGTTGCGGAACTTTATTTCAAACCAGGCTTTCCTTGAGAGTTTGTTAAAAATGCAGAGTGTGACCTCCTCTTCCTAGACATTCAGATTCCACAGGTCCGTGGGGACCAGGAAGCTTCATTTTGAATGAGCAGCACTTCTGGGTCCTCCCTCCCCTCACAAGGTGACCCGAAGCAGGTGGCGTGAGGAGACACTTGAAGAAAGCCTGGGGTGGATCTGGGTCCCTGCTGCACTCAGGAAGTCCCAGCTTCTGTCACTGGGCACCTCTGGGGAAGGCTGTCAATGATGCAATGGAGCCGAGAGTCCAATCAGAGTCCTCCCACCCCCCCACCGCCAGGATGAGTGGGGCTCTCCTGCACTTCTATCCTTACTTGTTTCCTGTCCTCCCCGTGCCTGGGGGCCTCCTGCCTCCCAGACAGGCACACAGTAAAGAGCTACGGCGAAAGCAGGGACCCCAGCTCCCTCCAGCTTGTAGGTAGCTGTCTGCGGTGCCAACAGATGATAGGATGCTATGATTTGTTTGGGATTGGATTAGAATACATTTATTTGTTCAGGAACTCAGTGACTCCTCACTATTTGGGTACGCTGCCGAAATGAACTTGGCTGGGCCTGCAGTGCCCGAGCGCAGAAGGCTCTGGTGGAAACGAGAAGACAGGTTCTGAGCGAGGGGGCCGGGCCCTGGCAAGCCTGCCTTGCAACGATGCTGTCATCCCCAGAAGAGCACGCTTGGACCATAATGGCTCTAGCTACAAATTCTATTAACTCTAAGAGTTGTTCTGTGGTGAATGGATAATGCGTTTAGCAGAAATAGACTCAATCAATTTATATGAAACACATAAAACTTTCTCATTGAAATTGGCATCTGTTCTTGAATCATAGGAGCGTGCGGGGAAATGGACAGTCTGTCACCCTTCTGGGCACATTAGCAGTGCCATGGGTTAATTAGAGAGATGGGCCAAGAAAGCTCTGGGTCCCTTACACCCTTATCCCTTCAGCCCTTAAAACCTCGGGGTCGGTGATGGGGAAGGACCTGGAGACTGTCTACTTTAAGCCTGGACTATTAAAAGAAGCAGTCTGCTTGCCTTTGCCTGTGTGGCCTTTGGCGCCTCTCCTCTGAGCTCTGCTACGTGGGGGTTTGCTGACATGCCCCAGCTGTTAGATGAGGACAGAGAAGGCTGTGCAGAGGCAGGAGCCACCCCAGGACCACAGCCTGCTAGTGCAGGCCTGCCAAGGCTGCGCACAGAGCTGCTGACTCCCGGCCTAGTGCTCTTTTCGTGATCCTACAGTTTTAATTGCCCCCCTGCCCTTCAGCAAGAGATGTGTACTCAGAAAACAGTAAGCCAACCATCACTAAGCACCTCGGAGGCGAGAGTGTGGTTTGATGCCAGGGCTCCATGAGTTACTGATACTTGTGGGTTGGGCCCAAGGTTTGGGCTGGTTCTTACGTAAGTTTTCTGAGCTGATTCCCTCTTGCTCTCCCTATACAACATGTGAGCTCAAAGGAGAGAGGGGTAAGGAAGCTGAGGCAGGGTCATGGGCCTTGGGGGTCCTGCCTGTCCTTATCTGGGCTTTGGGGGGGGGTGGCAGAGCCTGCTTGTACTTTCATTACCGCCGAGAGAGAGAGAGAGAGAGAGAGAGAGAGAACTCTGCAGCCCCGTGATTGCATTATCCCAAGCAGTTGGTTAGCGTAATTGTATGTGCAAAGCTGACAAATGTAATTTTCCCAGACTTAATACTTGCCCCATTTTCTCTCTCAGTTTCTTCATCTGATTAGCTAAAGTGACTCAGGCTTCCGAGAATGCTTCATGAAGCACCTGGACAGGCTTTTCCCTGCCTCGATGCTCCAGTGCCTCAGCTCTGCCCTGTGGGCTTCGGGGTGAGGGAACCCCCAGACCTGGAGGTAAGGGCCTCGTCATGGGGCTGACTTTGGGGACGTGCAGAGTGTTTAGGGAGACCTGGATGTGTTGTGAGTGACTGTTTTCAAAAGCCCCTGTGTACCCTTTGTGTTTCCAGGAGCTGCTCTAACCCCTGCCAGGAGGAGAGCTGAAATGCCACCAGCCGACCTTGTTCCAGCCCAGCAGAAGCTGACAGCGCTGAACTTTGGGAAGGAAATCTTGTTATTTGGTGTCCCCCATCCTTTGTTGAAGGCCGGGAGCTGACGTGTTTACTGGACATGAGGCCTTTTGTAGGGATGCTTTCCTGCTCTTTCCCATGTTCAGTGTTTATCTCTGGACTTGGCTACCTGGAGTGGCTTAGTTGGCTGAAAGAATGTAGACTTCAGGGTCACATCTTGGCTCCATTCCCTACCAGCGGGGGGACTCATCCCTCTAGACCATCTTCTCATCCCACAGTGGTAATGACACCAACTCTCCCCAGCCAGAGTGAGGTCTGGATAGGTTGGTGTATGAAACACCCCAGCCCAGGGTCTGGCAGGCAGACCCCTCAATCGCTCCTCCCCTCCCCTTTCCCTCCCACTGCAGCCCTTCCTTCTTCTCTAGAGGCCCTCGAAGGCAGAAGCTCTGAGCTGGGCTCAGCTTCCCCTTGCTGGCCATGACCTGCTGGCTCGCAGGCCGCCCCTCCCCCTCTACCTGTGCTCTCCTCTTGTACACTGGCAGTTCTTGACCGCCTGACCTGCGTCTTGCTCGGCTCAGCATCTCTGAGCATGCAACTGGCCCCAGAGGAAGTGTGTAGGAACTGTGTGTAGGTCTAGATGAAAGCCAGGTGAGGGAGGGCTACGGCACAGACCCAGGGTGGCCTGTTCTCCTTGACCCTGAGGCTGGGTCCTGGCCAAGTGGCACCTCAGGGGGCGTAATGGGCTTTGCCTGTGGGGGTCGGGGAAAGGCGACCCTGCTCCTCCTTCTCCTGATGAGTCAGAGGGTGCTGGGGGGGGGGCAGCATGGTGGGGCTGGGACATCTGTCAGCAGGGGCAGGGGCTGGGAGCCTGCCTCAGTTTCTCCCTGCCCTCGAGCTCCCCTATGCAAGAGCGGGTTCCTGGCAAATCATTGTCTCTGTATTCAGTTTTCTAAAGCCTTTCCAAGGAACCCACTAAGGCTGCTTGGGGATGTATCTGCCTCAGTGTCCTCTTCCCTTAGAGGTGGGGTCATTCCAGAAGGGGGCATGGAGACAGAACACTGTCCCAAAGCCACCTGCCTCCTGCTCTGAGGCTGGGTTGGGCAGCAGAGGAAGCTCCAGCCTCTCAGGCAGCCACTCGCTTCCGATTTTATTTGGAGGTGGTGGGGGAGCATAGCCGCTTTCCAGCCGCCGCGTGGTTTCATTAGTCTGAGTGGCCACTGTGTGGACCCTCATTGATGAGCCTTTTAGGGACAGTGGGAGTTATATGGCAATAAACTGGGGAGTCAGGCGGGGTGGATGGCTGCTCCTAAGTGCTGGCTGCCAACATCCAAGAACTGATCTCAAGCCTCAAGGGCCACCCACCCCAACCCACCCCATCACCCCATCAGTCCGTCAGTCGGTAAGTTTTTCCGGAGCTCCTGCTATGTAATCAGTGTTGGTGGTGAGGCAGGGCCAGAGCCTGCCACGAGGTTTGCCGAACGTGTCCTGAATGCATCGCAGGGAGGCAGTCACTGACCAGGGCCCGGGGAGTCCTGGAGGTCCGTCCCTGGGGTGGGGAGGGGGCGGCAAACAATGGACAGAAGGCTGCAGCCCTCACCTTAGCCGTTTTCATGAATGATGAGGCAGAGTAGGGAAATAGAGGTGGCAGGTTCCCCTTCATGTAGACAAATGAAAAAGTGTTTTGAGGATTTAGTTAAAGGTGAAGGGAGGAGAGGGGAGAGGTGAGGGGGAAAAGCAATGAACTCTTTCCCCCTGGTCTGGCCGCTGGGTTAGATCAGGTAGGAATCGGAGACAGAGAGAGCTACACCCAGGGTGGCTTTTCAGCCAGAGAAAGGAGGGGTTTCTTTCTTAGAAGACAAAGCAAAGCTGATATTTACATAATAAGTTGAGAGTCAATGAATTTAGTGTGAAGGTGTAAGTCTCCACTTGTTTTTTTCTTTGTACTTTGCACTAAACAAGGATTTTACATTGCAAGTAGAAATTTATCATGTATCTATTGTTATTTTAATAAAGTGATCTTTTATTGGAAAAAGAGTATGGGTGGACAGTGCTGTACACGTGCTTCTCCAGGTTACTCACTTCACTCCCATACCCAGGCACCCAGCCCACCTGGGGGAACCCCTTGACCTGCTGGTGTCAGGCCCCAGCTTCTCTGGGGCGAGGCTCACAGGCCTAACAACTGCCCAGGAACATCATACTGGCTCTGGAGACTGATTCTAGGAGATTTCCTCCTTGTACAAAGAATAGCTGAGAAGTCACACCATGGTTTAGAGCCAGAGGCTGAAGAAGCCTGTGTTTGAAGCAGCAAGAGTCCCCATGAGAAGTCCTTCAGCCTGGAAGATGCTGAAACAGACAGCTTTGGAAGGGAACCAAGGTTTGGGGAAATGTGTTGAACCTGAAGCTTTGGGGCCTTTACCCGTGATGGGCTAGCCTGGCTTTGTGCAACAAATAACGTTGGTTTGGGGCCCAACCCCCTTTACAAGAAGTCTAATGTAAGGTTTCCTTTGTTCAGTAAATGGGGAGTGGTTTCAAGGGACTGAGTTTGAGGAAAGATCAGCTTGGTTCTCTCGTGTTGGTGCCTGGGTATTCCCCAGGCACAGAGGAGAGTTGCTCCTTTGCTCAACTTACAGACGCTCCATTCAGCCAGGCAATAAGAGACCCAAACAACCTCCTCTTAGAGCCCCATAGCCAGGGAATAGGTGATGGTCCTTTTAAAGGTTGACTATTTTATTCTTTAAACACAGCTCCCCACTGCCATCACAACCCATATCTTTCTTCTGCCTTTTGCAACAACAACAGAAAATGACTTTGCTCAAATTTGTAAGTTGAACCCTTACCTGTGGGGTCAAAGACGGGGATCTCTCCTGTACTTTCCCAGGCTTTTGGCTCCTTGTTTGGGTTTCTCTCAAATAGATTTCTTGATTTGGGTGCCGTATCCTGTGGTATCTTGTCCTCCCCACTGACTAGAATAGAGAAGACCCCGTGCGCTGAGTTAAGTGAGGCTTGATTTAAGGGAGAGAGCAGAGTATGCCCCCGGGGAAGGTGGGAGAGGCAGGTGGGTTCAGGTTAAGGAGGGAGAGTGAGGCCCGGGGTTGTCTGGGTTGGGGACAAGTGCCAGGGACAGGGTGAACTCACTGGTGAGGTAGCAGTCCAGGCTGATGGAGATATTGTCAAAAGCCACGGTGGCTCTGGATCCTTGCCCCCACCACACAACAATCTGCAGCCAGAACCTGTAGGTGTTAAGAGGAGTGTGTGTGAGAAACAGCGTGGGTCAGTCACCTGGCAGGACTCAGCATCTGGCCAATGTGTGCCGATGCCTGGCTCATAGCGGTCCTTCGTGTGAGCCTCCCCTAATCACAGAGCAGTTGTGAGAGGGGAACAGTCCACGGCTCCCCCTACTTCCTTGCTGAGGGATTGTTCCATAGGTTAATCCATCCTGGAGTTTGGGGCTTGAAGGTTCCAGTACTCCCTGAAGCTCCGAGGAGACCTCTTTCACTTTTTGGGTGTGGAGGGTGGGTAGAAATGGGTAGGCTTGATATTCAGTGGGTACTCCCTGGTGGAGCCCAAGTCATTATTAAAATATTTCTGTACCATCTGATAAAGAGCCACTGTCCCCCAAGTGTCCCCTGGCTCCTTTCCTGGTACCCCTAGTTTTCCCCATTATTCAGCAACTGAAAAGTTAACCCCCTGCACAGCGGGGTAGGGGAAGGATCTCAAGGATCTGGTGTCTTATCCAGTGTCAGTCTCCGCTGGGGCTGCTCTGTGTGGTGCCTGACCCATTGTTAAATATTAAATAATTTGACTCTGATCCCTGGGAGTGTTTGTAACCAACACAGAGCAGACTGTAAGTATTAACAGTAAACCTACTGAGGTTTCTTCACAGAGAAGGCAGCCTTTAAGTTGGTTTCGAAGGAAGGCGAGGACTCAGAGGTGTGGATGTGGGGCTGGGGAACTGTGAGGGGAGGACATCTGTGGCGGAGGAACTGGAGTGAGGGATGGCTCAGCGCATGGCCCGGCCCCCGTGGCTCGTGGGTGAGGGGTGTGGAAAGACGCAAAGATGGTGAGCGGCATGTGTGTATCACGCACAGCATCAGGCTTCTCCATGAGCCACGGCAAGGTCACGGTTTCCTTAGATTTCCCGGGGGACTCTGTCGGCGGATGAGCTCCCAGCTCCAGCCCGTGTCACCTGGGACACAGCCAGGCCTGGGATCCTCAGGGGGCAAACAGGGGCCCTAACACTGTCATCTTGTTCTGTTTACAGCAGTTGCCAGGGTGAGAGAGATGCTACTCGCAGGCAGCAAGAGAACAGGTGCACGGAGCCACTTGGGGATGGAGACTAGAAAGAATCACATCCCTGGGTGGAAGAGCAGTGGGTAAGGCCCCACGGCGCACCTTTCCCATTTCTCCACTCTAGGTTACCACCTCCTCATCTGTTATCCACAGGCTGAGGGGCCAGGCCAGGTGCTGAGTGTCACGGGCGTACCTTACAGGCAGCCTGGGCCTGGAGTGAGTGAATTACCTGTGTGTGCCCGCTGAGCATGGGGGAGAGGGACAAAACCCGTTTTGCCCTAACTGGGCCCTTCCTGGGAGACTGCATGGCTCCCCTCCCCTCTCTGCTCTCCCTCCCTTCTCTCTGCCCTCCTTCTTCATTACTGAGAGATTAGGGCTGCAAGGTTCTCAAGCCGCCACTGGGCCTCTTAGCATGGATGGCGTGATGCAGGCTGGGGCTGGCATGGTCTCTAAATAGAAGAGTTTCTAAAGTGCTCTGCAAGGCAACAACAGTGGCAGCTGCTGTTTAAAAGAGTTTGATTGACATGGGGAATTGCACATAGTTGGAGTCAGGAACACTCCTAACAATCAGGGAAGACTCAATCAGATGTCGAATCAGATGTAAACATGCAATGTGGCCTCCGTCCACCCACAAGGCCACCCTGCTGACCCTGCCCCAAATGCTCCAGACTCCAGAGGCTGCAGGGAGGGGACGGGGCGGGTGGTGTGGGGGGACTAAGGTGGGTCATGCTGGGGTGTGGGGACGGCAGGGGTGGAGCAAAGGCATTCTGGGAATGGGGTCTGGGGATGGTAGGTGCTGGGGCAGGGAGGAGACAGCAGGACCCATCTGGGTGTTTCTGTTCTGTGGGGGCACTAGCCGAGAGGCCGGGTGGCCATTGGGGCCACCCAGATTCAGGAGATTCAGGATTCTCTGCTTTGGATGGTACCTGGTTGTGCATCTTCAGGTGAACCCCAGGGGAAGAAGAGATTGCTCCTGGCTCTGCTTCCCCCTCCTTGCTGAAGATGGGTGAGACTTCAAGGCTCTCAGTTTTTCTGGTGCAACCTGTCTTTCCTGTTGCCCGCCCCCCCTCCCCCCGCAAAAGTACAGATACCAGGTCACTCTCCAGGGTGAGCCATGGCCTCAGGTCTTGGGTTCTAGCATATATCAGGTGGAGTGCTTTGGGATTGAGGGAAAGTTCTAGCATGTACCAGGTGGAGTGCTCTGAGGTTGACAGGAAGTTCCAGCATGCACAAGGTAGACTGCTGTAGGAATGAGGGAAAGTTCTAGCATGAACCAGATGGAGTGCTCTGAGACTGAAAGTTCTAGCATGTATGAGTTAGACTGCTCTAGGATTGAGGGAAAGTTCTAGCATGTACCAGATGGAGTGCGCTGAGACTAAAAGTTCTAGCTTGTACCAGTTAGACTGCTCTAGGATTGAGGGAACGTTCTAGCATGTACCAGATGGAGTGCACTGAGACTAAAAGCTCTAGCTCTTGTACCAGTTAGACTGCTCTAGGATTGAGGGAAAGTTCTAGCATGTACCAGGTGGAGTGCTCTGAGACTGAAAGTTCTAGCATGCACCAGTTGGACTGCTCTAGGATTGAGGGAACATTCTATCAATGTACCAGGTGGAGTGCTCTGAGACTGAGAGAAAGTTCTAGCATGTACCAGTTAGACTGCTCTAGGATTGAGGGAAAGGTCTAGCATGTACCAGATAGAGTGCTCTGAGACTGAGAGAAAGTTCTAGCATGCACCAGTTAGACTGCTCTAGGATTGAGGGAACGTTCTAGCATGTACCAGGTGGAGTGCTCTGAGACTGGAAAGTTCTAGCATGTACCAGGTGGACTTCTCTGGGTCTAAGGAAAGGCAAGGTCCATGCCACATTACTGCCAGGATTACGGAGATCAGGTTCTAACAAACATTTGGTTACTTCACTGTTCTTTATCCCAAAGATAAAGAGAAAGAAATCCGAGCCCCCATGGCTAGAAGAACCTAGCCCTCCCTCTCTGTGGGCAGCCTGGTCAAGGAGAAGGGAAGAGCGAACTCTTCGGGGTTCCTCCAGCTCCCTCACTCTTCTGTGCTATTTAAGAACATGGCAGCTGAGCTCTTTCTAGCCTTTAGCAATTGATTTCACTCCCTGCCCCTCAATAGTTCACACCTGCTCAGCTCTTTCAGTTTTTCCAAATAAGACACTTTTGATTGCATGGATTATTGTTGCTTTTTCTCTTTTTTCCAGCTGGTGGAGTTTGAAACTTGTGGATAAAACAGACTTGGCTTGAGATCTTGGTTGGAGCCTGTCTTCACACAAAGAACATACCCCTTGACTCTGTTCTTGCTCAGAGAGGCCTGCTGAAAATTGGCCTGGGGGATTCGGGGAGGTGGCCACTGGGGCAGTGGGCCAGGTTTAGAGGGGACAGCCTTGAAATTGCGTGTCTCCCAGACTCACTGAGCAGATCTCTGTGCAGGAAATGCTGATGCTACTCATGCACAGCTCTGAAAACGCACAGTCTGGTTCAGGCAACAGACTGTTAATGGACAGTGAATATAATGCCTTATTTGCCACCCTGGCAGCCTTAGGGATTGACAAACCTAATTAAGTTCACTTAATGATTTTAAGTAGCTGACAAAAAGGTGTGTGTCTGAATGTGGACTGAGGGAATAGCAATGCTTTAGACAGAGAGCAAGAAAGAATGGCCAGCCTGGGTAAAAGGCATTTATTTAACGGATGCGCACCAACCACATCTCAGATTCCTCTGGGCCATTTAGTGGGCTCAGAAGGTGGGGGGAGTGTTCTGCATCCCTTCTCGCAGCTGAGGCTTGTCTGGGTTCTGGCTGCTTAGGATAGAGCTGGCAGATACTGCTAAGGAAAAATGCTTTTTCCAATTTCTCACTGCGCACTTGATTTGCTCCGCAGAAGTCTTCTAAAATGGACTGTCACAAAGCTCGGGTCACGGTATGCATTTCTATTAGAATAATGTATGTGATGAAAAAGCCCCACTACATTCAAACTATTATCTGCATAACTAACTTCAGTTACCAGTTGAAGAGGAGTGGCTGATGGCCAGCTTTGGGTTCCTGGGACCAGCCTGGCTCAGATCACTATGGCCAGGGCTGGACATGTGTGCCCTGCCTGACTCTAGAAGTCTGGCTCTGCGACAGTAAAGTAGGTCTGGACATTAAAGGCCAGACTCACTAGTTGGAAGCACCCTCTCTTCCTGCTCAGTCCCAACTCTCAGAAGGAATTTACCATGCTCTGACTTGGTTTCCCCTCTGGCCATCATGACCCCCATAGCAGTGAGGGGGGAGTCACTACAGAGTGATTCCCAGGTTTCCAAGGGCCATAGAGATCTTTCACAATGAATTGGGTTCTGTGAGGGAGCCCTTTGGGGTGGAATAGGGGAGAAAATGAGTTTTCAGCCAAGCTGAGCAAGCACAGAGAATCACTCACACTCTTCCACAGTCTCAGTCCCAGGCCTCCAGGCACTGGCTGTGTGTGACTAATGGTTCTGGTTCCCACATTTGCCATGGCATGCCACCAATCGGCAAGGCCTGCCACCAGGGTGTTCCACCAGACTGCAGGGCGGGAAGAAGCCCTTCTCTGGCAAGTTCCCACTTTGCGCTTTCATTTTCTCATTCTGCACCATGTATATTGAGCTCTCCCTGGGCCTTAGGTTTGCAGGGAATGGTGAAGGGCAGATCTTGCTTCCAGGAGCCCTGGCCCAGCAGGGGAGGTACGGGTGCACGAATACACCTGCTCAATAGGCTCAAAAGTGTCAAGTGCCCCGAGGGAGGAGAGGTCATGCACTTGCCCCAGGGATCCCTTGGAACAACTGGGGGTCTTTGGAAGGCTGTCCAGAGCTAGACAGCACCTACATCCATTCTGCTCAAGAGACGGGGATGTCCACTGCACCTTTCTCAGGACACCTTTCCGACACTAGCTTCTTCCTCTACTCTTGGCTG